CGCCTCGCCGGCACGCTCGCGCTCCGCTCTCCGGAGAGACACACAGCCGCGCGAACTCACGCACGCAGACCAACGCCCGCGCCCGCCGCTCACGCGACCGCAACGCCGCGCCGCAACGTGCGCACCGCACGCAGCGACGCTTACCCGTCGGCCGTCTCGCTGGCTCACGCATTGGCCATTGTGCCGCAAGCGTTTGGCTCTCCTTAGGCTCTCCTATTTCGAGGGCGGTGCCGATCGGTGTACGCGGCAGTGCCGTAGCAGGCGCGATGTGTCCAGCATTCAACTTGCCACGTTGGCACGCTGGGAGAGTATCGCTTCCTCGCAGAGAGGTGTCAGCACCCGCGGGACACAACGTCAGCGTGCTGGGGCGACATAGAATGGAGAAGGTAGTTGTACTTAAGTACGAACTGACAAAGAGCCGAGACTCGACTCCGCACGGCGTGCCTCTGCGTGTCTGCGTGCGTGTTTCACCCTGCGTGTATCAGTAAAAATATTCTGCGTGATTCTGGCTGGGCTAGCCGTTTCAGACAGCCTCCGAGGTCTTGAAGCGACGCACAGCGTGTGGCTTGCGGCGTGGTACGCCATGGTCGACGCCGACACCACGCCGTATTCCATGCAGCTCGCCGCCTCCTCGCCGCCGAGCATGCGCCCGTCGCCGAGCGCCATGGCGCATGGGAGCCAAACGCCTGCGGTACAGTGTGAGCAATGCGATATGCGTGAGCCGGCGTGCCACGGCCGACGGGTAAGCGTCGCTGCGTGCGGTGCGCACGTCGCGGCGCGGCGTTGCGGTCGCGTGAGCGGCGGCGGCGGAGTGGCTGTGCGCGCCGGTCGGAGTATTCGCGCGCATTGGATCTGTGGAGAGCGCGAGCGTGCCGGCAAGGCGGCGAGCGGTGGTAGGGCCTGGCGCGATACCTGCGCGAAGTTGTTGTTGAGCTGGCCAAACGGGATGCCACCAGGTCTTGCTTGAGTAGCCTAGCCGCAATAGAGTAAGGGCGTGAGGCAGTGTTGAGAGAGATGTCCGCGATGGCGCTCGAATGAGGGCGTGGAAAGATGGGTGACCTGGGTACCGAATGCGCTCGTGGCTCGCCTCCGCGCCCGAGCGACAGGCGTGGGTCCTCAGACTGCACCCAGGGCCCGAGCCTCACGGCTGCAACCCTCTGCAACCCTCGGACTCGGTCCGTCACGAGCTAGCCGGCCGCGGCACTTCGAATGGCCCCATGACGTGGCGGAGGGCTAAATCTTTTGTGGAACCAGTCTATTCCACGTATTCCATGGAATACGCCGTATTCCAAGCTCCCAAAACGGACGTATTCCGTATAAAATTTTCTTCGCTCCGCGAATTCAGACAGTAGGCTCCCGACCACGCCGGACCCAGCCAGGATAAGGCACGCTTGCCTTAAACTGCCATGAAGAGCACTAAATGTGCGATAAAAAATCTCTTGAAAGCGCCACAAAATGTATTTGAAAAGCGGATGAATTACGCCTGAACGGAGGAAGAATGGCGAGAGAATGGCGGGAGAATCTCTCGCAAATGAACAGCGAAGGGCGCAGTGAAAAACGATAAAACAAATCTTCAAATCGCCTTGTATTCATGGTTAGGCACCCTCGAACAGGGAAAGCGACAGGAAGTTGGCTGTCGACATCGGCCCACTGTCGGATAACGCCACCTCGCCGCCCGCTCTCTCTTATGCCCTCGCGGCACGAACACGGGTCCACGACAGTCCTCGAGTGGAGCGACGTGAGCGTGGCGCTGGCAGGGAAGGTGCTCGTCTCGCCCAACAGCGGCTCGCTGCAGTCGTCCGAGCTGGTTTGCATCATGGGTCCGAGCGGAGCGGGCAAGACCACGCTCCTGTCCGCTCTCTTTGGCGACAAGGACCTAGCACAAGGCACCGTGCATCTTCGCGGCGAGCCTCTCTTCAGAAACAAGAGGCGCTCCTCGCGCCGGCGACACGTCGCCTCCGAGATGGGCTATGTCCGCCAGAGAGACATCTTCATCGAGGCGCTGACCGTCAAGGAGACGCTGCTCTTCACCGCTCGCCTGCGCAGAGGCGTCGAACGCGGAGGTAGCGGCGCGAGTAGCCGCTGTGGTTCACGACATGGGCTTGCAGCAGACGCTCGACACCACCATCGGGTCTACGATGAGGCGCGGCATCTCGGGCGGGGAGCTGAAGCGTGTCAACATTGCGGCAGAGCTGCTGGGCATGCCCAAGGTGCTGCTGCTCGACGATCCGACCTCCGGGCTCGACTCCACCTTTGCGCTGCTGGTGATGGCGAAGCTGAGATCGTACGCCGCCGCGCACGGCGTCGGCTGCCTCTGCACTCTGCATCAGCCGTCGCTCCAGATCCTCGAGCTGGTGGATCGGGTGGTGCTCATGGCGCCCGGCGGCGCGACCGTCTTCTCGGGCGGCCCGGCCTCCCTCGCGGCGCACCTCCACCGCCTCGAGCTCGGAGCGCCGGACCGGCTCTCTCTCGCCGACCACGCGATGCAGCTGCTCTGCGACCCGGCCGAGTCCACGCGCCTCGAGAGCGAGTGGTCGACCGCCGCGCCCACGATCTGTGTGGCGGTCGTTCGTCCCGACGCCTCCGCCAATGCCGCGGCGGAGGTGTCGATGTCTCGGACCAAGCTGAGGCGGCGGGCGCGACTGCCCTTCCACCGCACCGTCTGGCTGCTCGCGCGGCGGCAGGTTCGCCAGTCGCGTTCCACGCTCCTCAAGGTGGCGCCTCGAGTCTTCCGCCCCCTCCCCGTCCTCGCCGAGAGGTGACCTGATCCCCCCGCCTGCACCTCGCCAGGCGGACGAGATCGCGCTGAACGTGCTCATTGGCGTCATCACCGGCCTGATCTGGTGGCAGAGCGCCGGCAGCGACGCGGAGCAGGGTGCGCTCTTCTTCTTCGTGGCGCACATGACGTGGTGGCCCGGCTTCCTCTACCTCTTCGCCTTCCCCGCCGAGGTTGCCGTCCTCACCAAGGAGCGCCTCTCCCACGCGCGCGAACGGAAGCAACACACGCTCATCGTACGCGCCCCTCCTGCTGTTATCAGGAGCTCCTCTCCGACGCGTACTCGATCGAGGCGTACCTCCTCTCGAAGGTAGTCGCCGACACGCCCTCGGAGATCGTATGCCCCTCCGTCTTCTTTGCGTGCGCCCTGCCCATGTGCGGCTTCGAGCCGGTCGCCTCGGTCTGCATCTGGCTGACCATGCTGCTGCAGTTCCAGACGAGCGCGATCATCGGAATGCTTTGTTCGATCGTGAGCGACCACCCAAGGTGCCCGATCAGCGCAAACACGCTGATCTCGGCCGTCAACGTGCTGCAGATGTGCGCTGGCGGCTTCCTACGAGACCCCCGCACGTACCCGGGAGGGCTGCGCTGGCTCAGTTACACGAGCATCTTCTACTACTCCTCCTCCATCATCTCCCAGGTGTCGTCACCAACCCACACCGCCGACCCGCGATACAGCCCGCTTGGGCTGGGTGCCAATGTGGCCACCTTGCTCGCCATCACAGTCGGCCTCAAGCTGTGCCTGTACGTGTCGCTAAAGAGTAGAAACCTCCGGTTTGCCTGATGAGTGATGTACTTTTCATGAAATAAATAACTTAAAATGCACTATATCGTATGCCTGGTTTGTGCAGAAGCGACCTCCATGCGCACGCTAAATAAATAAATAAAACGCACACCTCTACTAGGAGATGGGTAAAAAGGAACATGTCCCCGCCCTGCGGTCCTCGGCGCTGGCGAGAGGTTAAAAAAGGTTCCCCGCCCATCATGCCGCCCATGCCCGCATGCGCGGTCTTTGACTTTGTCTATTTTACGCCGATGTGCGATGATCCGCGACACAAACTCAAAGTCAAACAAAAAAAGATGTGGCCCCCAAAACATTGTTGGTGGCTTGGTCGTTGGTGCGAATTGACTGTCCCCGCGCCGTGTCACGAAGTCCATTGTTTGTGGACGTACTTTTAGCTTACTGGGAGAAAAGGGGAGGAGGGGTGTGTTCTCTGGCCCCTAATGTGTAGAAAACCTTGTGAAGTCTCTCGCAAACTTACGCGTGACAAGTGTTTGCTGGAGCATCAAGCATGGCGACCTCCGCCACCACCTCCCGCGTGGCTGCCCTCATGGGCCACGACGAGCTACGGGCGCCAGTATGGCTGTCATCTGCCCGGACTGCGCCGCAGAGCGAGGATGAGCTCGTGCAGCTCGAGCTCTCCGCCGCGGAGCTCCACCGAGGCTGGCTGCTCCGCTGCCTCAGCTTCACGGCAAACCGGATCGTGGCGGCGCTCAACGAGGTCGACCTCTTCTACGCGACCGTACCGCAGCAGCGGGTGACACAGCGGCAGCTGGCAAAGCGCCAGCCGGTGCGGACGCACATGGGCCACGCGTT